CGATTGAAAATTTGAACAAGATATATATAGGGAGAATGTGAGCTAATAGAAGGAATTGAATAACAATAAGAATTGAATTGAATTGAATAACTTTGCCTTTAAATCATCAGAACAATTTTTCTGAAAACGATAAATAAATATTTCAATTTAACCATTTGTTTTTGGCATTGAAATAATTTTTCCCCGTTTCCATGGCAACACTATTTAATACATCTTACTTTTGCATAATATTTTTTTAATTTCATCTATAAAATATATTCTGTATTTAAAATGCTTTGCATCGAAATATAACCGTTTTTTTCCGTCGTTACATATTTATTTTGCTATTATTGGTAGGATTTACATATCTTAATTTCTACATGGAAATTATCAACCCATCGATTGCTTAAATGCAACAAAAATAGTAATTTAAGTCACGAGACAATTAAATCTCGCTTATGGTAACAGAAATTTCAAATTCAGTCAGTGCAAGTTGATTTCTTTCATTTTAGTGTCTTTTTTTTTAAGAAGTCTCAGATCCATGCTTTCAAGATTGTCATAAATTTTGCTCCCTCTTAAAATTCTGTGTTTCTATCAATTTGTAAGATGACCGCCGCAAATTTAGATGTAATGGAACCTCCTTTTCAAGTCAATGTAGAAGATACGAAGACGATGTCACTTTTACAAATAGTTCGTCAAAAAGAGGAGACTGAAGCAGTTGAGTTCAATTTCTATTATTTTTTAACTTAGCCATTTTTATTTTCTTGATGATACTTATTCTAACAATATTGTGGCACCATGATAATAAACTATTTTTTTTTTCGCTTTATTTTAATATTATATTTTTTATTGTTAAAAGTTAAACCAAAATTTTATTTTTTTCATTTTTGTTTAATAAAAGTTTATTTATTTGATTAAAAACACTCAAACCATCTAAATTCAATCAAAATTAAACAATTTTAAATCATCTTAATTTCTTCAAGCAGTTTTATAACTAAACAGACATGTAAGTCTTTTCAGCCGTGTTGAAAATAGATTATTTCTTAGTGTTGCAAATAGATTATTTCTTAGTGTTGCAAATAGCTTATTATTATTATATATATATATATAAATACATTTTTCAGATTGTATTATTTAGAAAGTCAATCTGCTTTTTGACATTTAAAAAAATTTTTTTGTTTGTTTGAAGGTTAGTCACTTTGCAGATTGTTTTGTACTGGAAATCCTTAATATCTGTGGACGTTTACTTTAAAAATTAAATATATTTCTATTTTTATCTATTTGTTTCCTATGATGAATTAAAGCAGCTATTTTGGCCACATCGCAAAATAGGGGCCTCTGGGATTTGGCACCTTTTTTGTGACGTCAACTGAGCAATAAGTCGCCAAATGTGATAGCCCACATTTCACTTTTTGCGATTCACTTTACTTTACAATCGCAACCCTTTTCTTGGCGTGCTTTGGCGAAAATAATGGTACTTACGTATTAACGCCACCGCAGCTACAGATTTGGCGGTTTTTAAGTGGCGCCAATCTACACTTAAAATTTTTGTGACAAATCATAAAATATATATGAAACACTTTATTTAAAATCAAAACACTTTATTTAAAAACAAAGTAGTCAATCTGATTTCGGTGGAAAATGGGCCGATATAGAGTTTAATATAGATTCAAAGCAGTCTCTATTTTGGAGCATTGGCAGCTCTTTATTGGCGCATTAGCGCAATTTCTGCTATGGTGGCGTTAATACGTAAGTGCAAAACAATTTTTGAAGCCAAATCCTAGTGGTCTCTATTCTGCGATTTTGCCTTAAAAGTTTCAGAGCCTTTCATCAGAGTAATAAAGCATTGATTATCTTAAAATTAAACGTAAAGAAAAGGCAAATAATGGGTGCATATATAGAAAGTGGTATGCACTATTTTTCGTAAAGCACAGGTAATGAAGAAAAACACAGAGTTTTCACCGATTGTTGTGGTTCCATATTGTAATGGTTAGCACTTTAGACTCTGAGTCCAACAATCCGTTCAGATGTAGCCTGATCTCTTTCCACAATACATCTTAAATTTAAATAATTCGAAAAATATATATAAATACCGTATCCGTGTTAATACTGAATGGTTTCATATGATGCAGAGAAGAAGGTATCTTTGATAATATTGCGTTTATTTTAATTGAATCAGCAACTGAATATCAGCAATTTGCCTAGTTACAAATAAGGAGTTAAAACTTTCACATCCAGAAGGCCAGAGAAATAAGAAATTGAACAGCTTAAATTTAAAATTAAATAAAAAGCAAATAAGGCGCAGGTTTTAATCCTATTTACTTTCAAGGTTAATCTAAAGCGCTGGTTGCCAAGTGCAATTTTTAGGAATATCTATATTATTTTCTTAACAAAACAAAATTAAATATTTTTACATAATAATTATTTTAAAATGAAAAATTTATAATCAAAAAGTTTTAGAAAAATTGGCTCATAAAAGTCTTCGTACACTTAGAATTTTTATGTATTGGTTAACATTGTAGTAATTTGGTAAATTAGTATTTAGTAGAATGTCTTGCAGCCTCAGAAACAGCTTTTAAATGTCTAGGCATAGAATTCAGTAGGATTTTTTTTAATTTCTTCATCAATGTACCTCCATTATTGTTCATAGTTTGATTTTGGTTTTAAAGTATCTTTAATCTCCAATTCTCTCCAAATGTGCTCCAATGGATTTAAATCCTGCAGCAGATGTTGTGTTTTCAGAAACATGAACAATTACAGAAACAATAGAGGCGAACGTTGAGAGCAGTGTGCTTAGGACCGCTATCTGAACTTAAAAAAAAAAAATTCTGATTAAGCTGATATTTTTAAATTTTTTTAAATATTTATTTTTATGTATTTATTTCATATTTATATTTATTTTTAAGATAAATATTTGGATTTTGATCCAATTTTCTCCTTTAAAGCATTTTAATCGTATCGAGATAAATTTACTGTAATAATTAATCATGAGATAAATTTATTAATTTAAATATATTCCGAATTGATTTACTGCCACTCTGAAGAAAAATAATCAATTTTGGAACGCTCTGCATTGTCTCCAAGCCATTTTTAAATAATAATTATATGTAAATAGTAAAAAAGAATGCAATGACGTAAGCACGCCAAACGATTTTTAAATGTTTCACAAAAAAAAAAAAAAAAAAAAAAAAAAAAACAAAAAAAAAAAATTTTTTTTAAAGTCAATTCCTACTTTTTTTCACTACATTGTAGAAAAGTCCTTTATAAATAAAGATGAAATTTTCCTCTTACATCTGGAGCCATCTATTATTAGATACATGCAACTTAAATCTAAAAGAAACTAAAAATTAATTAATTAAATTTAATTAATGAATTAATATTTGAAAAAACTGTATTAGCATTAAGTGTCATCCGCTACAAGTTTCAAAAAATGTATTGGAACTTGAGTGGATGAATAAAAAAGTATTTTATTAACGATTGAAAATTTGAACAAGATATATATAGGGAGAGTGTGAACTAATAATTGGAATTGAAAAAAAAAAATGCTATAGACCATAATTGTATTTATGAATCTATCCGAAAATGTTTAGGTGTATGATTACTAATTTTTATGACGTATTCTTTCACTGCCTCTTTGCATTTTTATTTTTATAAAATGAAATTGCACCTAAATTTTAAAAATCACAGAATCACATAATATTGAATTTTATACTCGAATTCAATTAAAGACTATAGCACTTTTTCTGCAAATTCTTAAAGTGCACGAATTCTTTTTGGGATCGCTGCATGTATTTTTGCATGAGAAAAATTAACAGCAAAAATTTTGAATGTTTTCTTTTAAGGAAGTTGAATCCTTATGCAATATGATGTACCAATTAAACAAAGCACGTCTTCAGTACGAATCCACTGTGGAAATTGTCAACAAGCTTAACTCTATCAAAGACGGACTGTCAGCAACGATACCTCTCACCAACAGCGTATCCTTTTTAACAATAACTTATTTGAAATTTGTATAATATAAAACTCTTTAAAATTTTTTTTTATCTTAATCTTGAAGAACCGATAAATTATTGTACTTTTCTGTTTAAGTGGTGCAACTTAAGGCCAAATGTAATAGTTGCAAACATGAACGTAAAAATGACGAAGAATATGACAGAATGAGGTGTCATAATTAATTATTTTATTGCATACAAAAGTTTTGCAATAGATAAAAATCAAAATCAAATTTAAACTTAAGTAATAAGTATTAAATCGCAAATAACTACTATAAAATATTTTAATCACAAGGTTTACTTTTTTCTCAACATGATCCTGACCATTTCGGATTACCTGTGGAATTAAAATTTAATTTCATTTGGCGAATGTATGTTTATGTATAATTATTCAGTCTTGAAGCTTTTTAAAAACATAAATTTACATAATCTGAAAACTGAAAATACTCTATATAATATCCAACTAATTCGAAATAATCAAGGTTTGGTTTGTCGCTCTACGGACATTTTGTGCATACTTTGGGCTAATTAGACTGGGACCTACAGTTTAGCGTGGATTCTGAATCCCTGACAAACATCCATGAAATAAGCAAGGAAACTACCAAAACTTAATAGAATGCATTTGTTTCTATTTCTGTAATAAATATAAGCCAATGTGCACTTCAAAAAGTTTCTTTACCCTGGTGGTTGAACTTCTACAATAAATAATTTATCAATAAAATAGTGACCACATCTCTCCTAACTTGTGTTTGTTGTTTCTTATCCCACTTGGCTGGCCAAGCCCACGAATCCATACGTACTCATGATTGAAGGGGAAGGAAGTAGCTTCTGTTGTGATGGAGCACCCTCTTAGGTAGAAGTCTGACTTTGGCCCCGTGACGCTCTTACAGTCATAGGAGACCGGGACCTACGGCCTGAAGTGGAATCCGAACCACTACAAACATCTATGGCACCGCCGGGATTCGAACCGAAACCTGTGGCACCGAGCGCTTAGGCATTCGACCATTCAGGTCCCAAATTTGTGAATGCCAGCGGCACGCGGTGTTCCCAGGTGGTCACCCACCCAAGTACTGACCGCGCCCAATGATGCTTGACTTCGGTGATCTAACGAGAACCGGTATATTCAGCATGGTATGGGGCCGTTGGCTTCCCTAACTTGTTCAATGATGAAGCCAATCTCGACACGGATGCGTCAATTGTGATACACAGTGAAATCAATAAATGAAACTTATAGGATCATCGGTCAGATCATTGACTGAAATTAGAACTTGATTCTTCAGAGAAAGAAATTAATTTAGATTGCATTTCCATCAGCTTATGTTGTTCTATTTAAAATGGCAAAAGAATAAGCGTTTTGGCAGCATGTTTTAGTTTCATCCTGCATATCTATCTAATGTGGCCGTCATGTCTATCTTACATATCTATCTAATGTGGTATAATACTGAACTATCTATGAATGAAAACTTTTAAAAATAATTGTCCTTTTTTTTATATTTGCAGTATAGCAGCCTCCTTATTATCCTCACATTGTACTGGGCAAAACAGAACGTACTACATATTTGCCTCATCAATATCTACTACCATATATCATACCACATCACTTCCCAGATCTGAGATTCCATTTTAAGCTGGATTCTCACCAGATGTAAAGATAGCGGAACATTAGCCAATCAGAAACCTGAGTGGCAAAGAGATTAGGAGTCTGATTGGCTGATGCTCTGCGACTTGACATCTCAGTATCTGAAGGGAATCCAGATTTACAGTTTTTGGGAATGATGTGGGGGGAAATTATACCACAGTAATTTTGAATAAACACCTCAAGGATGTCAGCGGGAGGAAGTTGCACTCTCTTCCATTCTTGCTCAAGTCTAAGTCGAATCAGTATAAAATAATCTCAGATAAATGCTGGGGAGTGTTTAATATAAATGCTGGGCAGTAAAAAACAATTAGGTAATTGTTAATTCAATCAGCTGTAGTTTGGTTTACTTTAAGTGGCCAAATGGCATCATAGAATATAGTTTGATTTCTGATAATTAAAACGAATATTTATTGCAAATGTGATAGTCGTAAGTCATCAAAATCGGTGTCCTTACTGATTTCCATATAGTTTGACAAGTAATGGATTCCATATGATCAAAAATCCAGACCATTTGGTTCTATATTTAAAAAGTCGGTGCTTACGTATTAACGCCACCGCAGTAGAAGTTGCGCTAATGCGCCAATAAAGAACTGTCAATGCGCCAAAATAGAGACTGTTTTGAATCTATGTTAAACTCTATATGGGCCCATTTTTCACCGAAATCCGATTGACTACTTTGTTTTTAAATAAAGGGCTTTGAATTTTGAAAGTGTTTTGATTTTAAATAAAGTGTTTTATATATTTTATGATTTGTCACAAAAATTTTAAGTGCAGATTGGCGCCACTTAAAAACCGCCAAATCTGTAGCTGCGGTGGCGTTAATACGTAAGTACCAAAATGTTTATCACAGATATCGGAAGGAGGGTTAAAAATCTTTGTTAATGCTTTTAGCCTATGCAAAACATTTTTAACTAAAGTCATAGATAAATATAACATGTTTTTCCTTCTGTCACTACATTTCAGAAAAAAAAAAAAATCATTTTGAAAACCTCATCAGCTGGTTGTCTATCATTCCAAGTAGAAATAGTAGGATGCAATTTGCTGTTTTTTTTTTTATTAAATAAAACTGCGTTTGTTTGATTAATAGTTGTCATGCAATATATAATTTTCATATAAGGATATTATTCATTAATGATGTTATAATAAAGGCCCATGACAATAGATTTCAAAGAGGGTTTTGTAGTTAATTATTTCTTGATGTTTCTATTCAAATACTCAAGCATATATGAATGTTTTATAAATTCAACAATTTTACATATTAAATTAATTTTTTTAATCAAATTTGTCTTGGTTTTCCCTGTCAAATAAATGTTAATCATCTGATCTCTTTTGAACTCCAGTAATTTGATGTGCTTGTTTACATTCGTGGCAAAATGACAACTGATCTTTATTAACTGGCATTGCACCACTCCAGGTCTTTTTATGATGCGCAGCTGAAACGAAAAACATTTCAGTCGTTCTTCGATTTCACCGCCAAAAAATGGCAGCTGTTGCAGTTGTTAGATTCGAATCCTGTGGATAATTTCATAATCATATATCACATGCCGAATAGCTGAATAGGAACGTATATGACGCAATCATTAATTTTTATTCATTATAGGGATGTATATATATATACACTGAAGTGACAAAAGTCATGGGATACCTCTTAATATCGTGTCGGCCCTCCTTTCGCCCGGCAAAAGTGCAGCAACTCGACGTGGCATGGACTCAACAAGTCGTTGGAAGTCTTCTGCAGGAATATTGAGCCATGCTGTCCCGATAGCCGTCCTTAATTGTGAAAGCGTTGATGGTGCAGGATTTTGGGCACGAACAGACCTCTCGATGATGTCCCATAAATGCTCGATGGGATTCATGTCGGGCGATCTAGGTGGCCAGATCATTCGTTGGAATTGTCTAGAATGTTCTTCAAACCAATCGCGAACAGTTGTGGCCCGGTGACATGGCGCATTGTCATCCATAAAAATCCCATCGTTGTTTGGGTACATGAAGTCCATGAATGGCTGCAAGTGATCTCCAAGTAGCTGAACATAAGCATTTCCAGTCAATGTTCGGTCCAGTCGCACCAGAGGACCAAGTCCATTCCATGAAAAACAGCCCACACCATTACGGAGCCACCACCAGATTGAACAGTGCCTTGCTGACAGTTTGGGTCCATGGCTTCGTGGGGTCTGCGCCACACTCGAACCCTACCATCAGCTCTTACCAACTGAAATCGTGACTCATCGGACCAGGCCACGGTTTTCCATTTATCTAGGGACTAACCGATATGCTCACGTGCCCACGAGAGTCGCTGCAAGCGATGTCGTTCTGTCAGTAAAGGCACTCGAGTCGGTCTTCTGCTGGAATAGCAGAAGAAAGCCAAATTTCTCCCGCACAGTTCTAACAGACAAGTCCCTTGTACGTCCCACATTGATTTCTGCGGTTATTTGACGCAGTGTTGCTTGTCTGTTAGAATTTACGACTCTTTGCAGACGTCGCCGGTCTCGGTCGTTAAGTGCAGGCGGTCGACCACTGCGCTGTCCATGGTGGGATGTTATGCCTGAAATTTCATACTCTCGGCACACTCTTGACACAGTGGATCTGGGAATGTTGAATTCCCTAACGATTTCCGAAATGGCATGACCCGTGCGTCTAGCTCCAACTAACATTCTGCGTTCAAAGTGTTAATTCCCGTCGTGCGGTCATCATCACGTCAAAACCTCTTCACATGAATAACTTGAACAGAAATGAAAGCTCTGCGAAAGCACTGCGCATTTATACCTGTTCTACGCGATGCTACTGCCATCTGAAAATTTACATATTGCTATCCCATGACTTTTGTCACTTCAGTGTATATATTCGCGACTAAAACATGTACCATTTCGTAATGATAATCAAAAAGAAGAGAATATTCTAGGGAAATATTTATCCCAATGTTACAAAATTTTGTTTTGTAAGGAAGTACAGTTTTTTTTCTGACATAGGATTTTTTTTTTTCAATTATTAATAGCTTTGTAATAATTTATATATAAAAAATAATTTTTTTTCAAATGGATTAATGTTCAAGAAAACTTTTTGAATATCCATTTAAATTAAAGATCAAAAAAAAAAAAAAAAAAAAAAACTTTTTATTATTGTTCATACTTCTTATACTTCTTGAGTACTACTTCTCAAGAATATTTCTTGAGTACTGCTTTTTTATTTCTTGTAATACTTTCGGAGTATTTTGGGCGCGCGTGTGCGTATGCTTTGCATAGTGTATACGTTGTGTGTGTGCATTGTATATGTGTGTATTCGTTGTGAGTGTGTATGTATACATTTTTATGTCACGAACAACCCATTGAAAGTAGGATATTAACTACCAGAAGTCATTACCCTAGACTTAAATTAATTTCTTAAAATGTCATATTTTTCTAAAATAGATATTAAAAAAAGTACAAATTTAAACTTAAATGGTTAGTGACAGTAATAATTTTGGTTAATTATTCCAACATCAGTTGATTTTTAAAGTGAAGAAAAACTTTTGTAACATACTTTTAAGTAAAAAATTCTCTACTTTTTTGGAATTTATAAATAATTTTTTATTGCCATGTTATTATACATTAAATAATAAAATGTATATGATATACCATAGTTGTATTATTTAATGTTTTTTCCTGAACTAAATACAGATGTATGTTCAAGGAGATATCTGCAATCTAAATAAAGTCATATTAAGCGTAGGAAATGACTACCAAGTGGAAGTTGTAAGTATGATCTCAAATTTTACTATAACCTCTCACCAATAATAATAATAAATACAAACACCACTTTTACACAGGAGAAAGTTCTCTTAATAAAGTTGGATGCATATATCAAATGCTGATACTACAAATGATTTCAACATCGATTTAATAAAAAAATTTACAAAAGTCAAAGCGATTAAGATCTGATGGAGAGAGAGAAAAATACCATATTTTTAAACAAAAAATATTGACATCATCTATATATAAATTTGAAAAAAAAAAAAAAAAAAAAAATGTTTGTTTTTTATTTATACAGATTCACAATATTCAACCTGGAACTTTTAAAGTTGGCATGTACACTCAAGAGCCAAAACATTATGACCACCTGTCAATAACGAGTTGGCCCACCTTTGGCGCGCAACACAGCTTCAACCTGCCTTTGGCATGAATTAATACCACCACTTAATACCAGTTAAATACCACTTCCACCTGATCACGTGCCTTCCACGTCATCCAGGAGAGTTCATTGCAAAATGTAGGGGTGGTCATAATGTTTTGGCTCTTGAGTGTATATACTCGTAGACCATATATACCAGTAGGCTGACGGCCTTGGCGCACCATGGGGCTGTTGAGCCAATGAAGATGAACATAGACTGTAGATTACTTTAAAACTTAAAAATTTCCTCTGTTCCCCCTTAATACCCTGAATTTAATGAGAGGTTTGTATTAGTTTTTACGAGCAAATTTTATAGATACTAATGCTCTGAATTCAATAGTATGTTAAATTTTCT